CATTTATCAGCAAGCACAGAGCACAGTTTGTTCCTAGGGTAGGGTCCTGAGCCCAGCTCACGCCTCCCTGCTTTCACAGCCGGGGGAACTGTGAAAAAAAAGCACAGAGCCTGTGAGGTATTGCCTGTCCCAAGGAACCGGGGGTGAAGACATCCTTGAAGCTGCTTCTAGGTGCCATTAATTTGAAATGTTCCCTTTCTAAACCAATCCTTCCTTAATTTTGATAGATGATCCCCAATCCACTCTTTTACTGTTAACTGCTAGAAAACATAATTCAAAATAATAATTTTGCCTTATACTATGATGTGACAGGAAAACTAGCTACTAGAAGGCCATCATTATATCACTTGATTTATCTTCCCTATTCCACTCTTTATGTAAGTGTTCCAAAGATCCCAAGATTTCTTAAGACCAAAGATTGAAAGCCACTAACCTAAAGAAATACGCTATCCACAGCAAATACTGTTGGAGCTTCCTATTGATACATCAGTCCAGGCTTGCCAGGACCCCATAGCTCTTGCTGCTGTCTCTTCCTAAGCAGAGAGATCCTGGCACATCACACTTGCCTTATAAAGGCACATCACACTTGTAAGTGTGATGCTAGCTTAGCATGCCCAGAAGGCACTAAGTAAAGAAACTTAGCAGGTGAACATATGATTGCAGCAATTTTTTTGCATGATCTGCTTACCTCACTTTCACATCCTCCAAAGTGCCTTAACTCAACAGTCCACATATTAATAATTCCAATTTGTGAAAGCTCTGAGTGTTAGAGGCATCATGTTATATTTAGTTAATTTTCTTATCACTGTGTATTTTATGAGTACTGTGGTGCTTGTCCTCCTCTCCTGTTCAAACTATAATAAACTAATATACATTAGATATTTTAGGTATTGGATACAAGTGAATTCCTCTACCACATTCCTTCAAAAGATGGGACTGAGGGTGGGAGGAGATCAAACCACCTGAAAAGAAGAAAAAAAAAAAGGCAACAAAAGGAAGACCACCAAAACACCTCCAAGAAAAAACCCCAACCTTATCTTTGTATTCTTGTCTCCATGAAACAGAAAATACACTCAGCTTCTAATGGTTATCACAAATCAATGTTTTCTGCTCTGTGAAACAAATCCACAAGTAGCTGTGATATTTTTTCAGTGTACTTAAGCAGAAAACTACATTGAGGGAAATATTTCAATCTCAAATAATTTGAGAGAGAGGTGTTTTTCAACCAGAATAATGCCTGAAGAGTGTTTAAGTACTAAAGCCCCCACCTATCCTTGGGTGACCTCATTGCATTGTGTGGCATTTCAGCACTCTAACTGAGGGCACCATTTGTTTCTTGAAACATCAGCAATTATCTGATCAGAGAGTTTCTGAAAATTGAATAGGCAGCTGCTTACGATTGATATGGTTCCAGCTTCATGGTGCTGCAGAGCTTGATTTGTCAGTTATGTAGAGATATATCGTTTTACCCCTGCCCCAGCCCTTAGTGTATCAGCCTGTCTGCCCACATTAATGTGTGCTGGTTTTGGCAGCTGCAGAGCATCTAAATATAACCAATGGAGACAATTATTTTAGTAGTGACCATCATCTTAGCTGCAGAAACTATTATTCTGCTTTGAACATCTGCTTTCACCCTAAGGCACCCAGCTCAGGGGAAAAAATAAAAAGGTATACATATTAAGGCCTGGAAAAAATATATGTTCACCTTAATTAAGGTGCTCTGGCAGCAATATAGGTGTTTTTAATAAGACTTGTTAAATATCTATTGAGGGATTTCTATTGACTTCCAGTGGCATCAGTCAGTTTTTCCAGAGGAGAGATCCCACCCACGCCTCAATCCCTCTTTTTTTAAAGCAACAAGTTCTGTTTAGATACCACATAACAGCATGTGTAGACACCCACTGTTAGAGCATGTTGATATGAAAGACTAGTGGTTTCCTTATAGATCCCTTATATTGTTTTTATCTTAAGTTTCATATTTTTCAATGTCCTGTAACTCTTTTCATTTTATTCTTTGTCTGGAGAACATACTGATATGACAGAGTAAGAAAAGTGGACCAGGGTACAACATAATAGTGAATGTCATAAAAGGCAAATTTGAATGCTTGCTCAGCTCTTTAGAGCCCTCAGCAGCTCAGTCCATCAACACTTGTGGGAAATGGCATTAGTAATAGTGGCTGCTTTCATGTCAAGGACCTTAAATAAACTATTGGTGAACACTCTAAAGATGCATTTGCCAGGCAGAAGTAGGATGCCTCTTCTAATGAAGATCTTGGTTAGGTCCTGCTTGTGTCATCAAAGTCTGACAATGCCAACAGTTTTCTTTAGTTTGGACTCTGTTGTCAAATCTTAGTGGTCATAGTTCTACCATTTCTTGGGGTGACTTATATAACCTATCTATGAAACAATCCTGTGAAACAATCCTGTAGTTACCTTACCAGAAAGACTTTAGGCTGCAGCTCTCTTGAGTGGAGATGTAACAAAGTGCTTGAGAATCACCTGGATAGCAGCAATGTTCTTCCCTCCAGCAAATTGCAGACGAAATTTGGTTCAGTCCTGAGCATTCAATAACCTCCTTGTGTTCACAGACATTCCAGGATGTGACTCAGATACTGGCAGTTAAACACTCCTAAGGGTCCCCTAGCACTCAGGAGAACAGATCCAAAGAAACAGAATGTCAGTGGAGCATCCCCAAAAAAATGGATTCCCATGGGCCAAGGCTCACAAGTAAGATGCTAAGACAATGTTTGCTTTAACAATTACCCAAGAAATCATAAGCTGATTGACCAACAGTTTTACTGTACATATTTAGATCTTTAACCAGCATAGAAATTAAGACTCAAAAAGAAATTCAGATATAGCGAAGATTTCAGAACTTTATGTAACAAGTTAAGCAACAAAAGTCTTTATGGTGGCACTGCACACTTCTACTTTGTTGCTCATGCATGTGTTTGGATCTGGTGTCAAGATTTATGTTATTTTTCAATTATAATTTTTATGCCCATGGGAAAATACACAAAAATAACACTGGACTTGGGAAAAAAATCCATTTCTTCTCAGAAGTCTTGTAAATGGGAAAGCAGAAATGCTTGAACTAGGAGTGTTCCTCTTGTTGTATGACATCAAAGTTGCAAGTCATGCTCTTTGCATTCTCTCCTTCCTGCTATTTTCATACTGGTGTTCTAGGACACTGTATTGTGTATCTTGAGCATGGCATTGCAGCCCTGGCTGTGGCACTGGCAGTCTCAGGCAGCTGCCATTCTCTTTCCAGCTATTTGCATCAGTGTCACCATAGAACTGGCATGCACAGAGTGGGGGATCAAAGTCATGAAGGATTGCTGCACACTTCATAAGTGGCATACTTTGCAGTGGGCTGAAGAGTGGCTGGAGAAGTAGGGCCATTTTTTATCAGAAAGGGGTGGCAGGGCTGAACTTAATTTTCTCTGGATTATTCAGAAAATTTTTCTGGTTTGGAGCTTTAAACGTGAAACATGAGGGCCTTAATATAATCTTCAAATCATGGCCAAATGGCACCATTCATGAAACCCCAACAGGAAAAATAATTTGAATTTCCTAGATTTTCATGCCTGACAATTTGTTTTGGAAAGACACACTCACAGAAGGGCCTCTCACAGAAAAAATAGTGCATTTAATAAACAAATGGTCATTGTGCTAAAATATCAGTAGGAAAAAATTTTTAAAAATTGTATTTTTTCACACTTCTGCTTGCAGCTGGATAAAGCTTATGGTCTAGAAAATGAAGAATACTTTTGTCTAAGTATATAGAGAGCTGTTTCACTTCACTGCGGGACAAAATTTGATTGTTTATATATAATCCAGTTTAAATGTTTACACTATTATCCCACCAGTATTTTGACCATATTCATGTTACTTGTAAACTGTTAGTACTGGTTTATGGAATCATACCAGTTTGAGAAAACCTTTTATTTCCAGAACATGAACTGAATGAAACATTCCATATGTACTTCTGATTCACACTTATGAAAAATAATTGTTTTGTAGACTTGAAAGATCTTGTCCCAACATAAAGATTTCTGGTTTCAGAAAGAATTTTAGGATGATTGGATCTTACCATTTTTATTCAACAAAAATTTAATCATGAAGATGGTTAAGAAATCAAATATTGACTTTCTGTCACAAATCAGTAACATTAAAACAAAACAGAGGTGTCCTGACCTTCTGCTATCATGCCTAATCTTATATCACAGGAAATGCAGTTCATATTGGTGCCTTTTTCTGGTCTCTAAAATCATGAGCCAGACACAATTAGGTAATAAAAATGCAGTTAGCTTTTTTGAAGGGTCCCCTCAGGTGCACAACACACTGAAGTATATGCCAAAAATATGTCGAAGATGCAGATGTGACATCGAGCAAATACAGTTTTATAAGTTTAGAAAATTAACATAATTGACAAGAATCCCCAGTTAAAAACACAGGTGTTGAGGCAATTTCCCCTTTAGGTTCTACCCTCTTCAGAAGCCTCCCTTCCTTGCTAGTAGTTTATGGGAGTGTGTCTCAACCTTGGTTCTCAGAAGAAGCAAGCTAGGATAGGGGCCTAGGAATGTAGTTTGTCTTTCTGTCAAACAGGATAGGAAACTACCAGCACAAATCGATATCGTTATACCATAATAAGCTACAGAGCTACAAATACGTGTAAAGAATATATAAAAGCAAAATCAGTTTGGCATCAAGATCACCTGTATAATTACTAGGGTTGGTTGAACATGATGAAAGCCAAATGTAAAATTTAAATTGAGCTGATGACCTGATTGCATCTCCTTTTGCTCTTGCTCTCCTCCTTTTTCAGTGTAAGTAAGTTAAGCCCAAATGTGTGCAAACAAATATGTTAAATCTAGACTAGGTATACGGAGAACTCCCCAAGTTGTGCCGTGCTATGAGGCTTCAAGGTTTAAGGCTTGTTTCTGAGATATTACCAATTATGACTCTAAAAGACAGAAAAGAAAACATATGGACAGGTCTGTAGCATAGCTCATTTTTATTGTTTAAACAGTTTTTGCATAGGAAATATATCCGCTTCCAGTAATTGACTGCAGTATGAGCAGCTGCTAGCAGTATAGGCTGGATATAACAGTAACAATCACATTAAGTCAAGCTTGATTTACACCAGTTTAAAACTTGTGGCAGTTGAGTTCATTTGTAACCTAAAAAAAAAAGTACCAGAAAGAACACTTTATCCTCCAACCAGGCACAATAAAAACCTTTGTTAACACTCAGGCTAAAATCAGGTCTGATGCCAGAGGGCCCTAATTCCAAAATTAAGTAACTGTACTGTAATGCATCCTACTAGTGAAGGTTCATTACACAAAGACTCCGCACGCACCTTCTTTTTAATTAAAATGTAACCTTCAGGATTTATGGCCTACAGTATGGGGAAAAATGCCAAAAGTTTTAAAATGGATCAACCCTGGTATGTAGCTAGCAAGCAATAACTGACTACTTGTCACCTACAGTTGTACTAAATGTATCTAAAGAAACACACAGCCCTAAAAAAGTTTTCTCAGTGAAATATCATTGAGATGGGGTGCCTCTTCCCAGATTACTAAAAGTTCTATATGATATAAGCACAAATTAACAGCTTGATGAAGACATAATCTAATGCAGCTCTTGACAAGCCTATGCCTGGGATTGAGGAACCTCTCACATTCTACAATGTTGTAGAGATTATTTTTGAAGAAAATGTTATCTGAAACATATTTACAACTGAACTCAACAGAGACTGTGAAATTGAACAGGCACTGCTCATTTGTTTGAGTTTTTTGGTAAACATTTTGCTGGTTTTGTTTCTTTCTCATTTTGCATCAACTTCTATCAGTCCATGCAACTTCAATGCCCTCAATGAAAAATGCATAATAAGCCATACTTCTTAAAAAACTTCCTTCTGCATATAGAGATACATTTGCCACATCAGTCCCTGTAGCACAGTTTTCAAAATCATTCTGTCAAAAATACAGTAATACAAAGACTGGCTTTAGTGTCACTAGCTCACACGGCTCTCCATTTATTCAGGCCACCTTTTGTTTTACTGTTACGGTTTCATGCAATGAAAGTATCAAAGGCTTATTCTATTCATGATGCTAGTGGCACTGAAGCCCTTTTCACAAATTCAACATACATCTGAATTGCAACACACAGATATTTCTAAAGAATACTAACTAGTGAACCCTTTTATCATAAAAAAAACCAAACAACTACTTACAACCATTGAAGAAAAAAATTGCAACAAAAAAAATGTAAAAATTGACCGTCTCCAACTTGTCCCCTTTACTATTGACAACGTGACCAACAGAGCTGTGGCATGGAAACAGTACAAAGAGTTGTCATGGCAATAAGTTTGGCTGATGCAAAGGTCATTGTGCAGGGTTAAAGGGCAAAATCAGTGGTCCATGTTATCCTCCAACTGCAGTGCTCCACCCCACCCACACAATTTTGAGGAATTAATAAAACTGGGGAACTAGCAGAAAGTGCAAATAAGAAGGAGGTGGTTTTCGGCTCCTTCAGCATGGAGAACATTCAGCTTTGAGCCTTTCCTGTTTAACTCGATTAGCTGGCATGTGATTTTACTCTCTTTTTTTTTTTCTCCTAAAGTTTTATATAGAAACTCAATAAAAAAAATCCAGGAGCATACAGCTGGTTAACGTTAACAAAAGACCTCGACAGGATCATATAAACCATAAAGGATGTCACGCTTGGGGCCTTACTGCCAGCAACATTAGAGAGTTTTTTCCTTAAAAGTGAAAACTGTACACTGAATATGGGATAACTTTCTGCAGCCTTCATAATCTCACACAGTACATATAATTTAGGTTTAGGTACAGAACACACTCTGGTGTCACAGATGTCTTTGTGCAATCTCTTTCATTAAGTCCTTATGAAGCTACAAGTTGCAAATCCAAAATTCTGCTCCCTGAGGACACAGCTGTGTGAGACTTAAGTACTGTTTTAGCTCTCTGCCTATCCTGAATAGCTCTGTGAACCTAATCTTAAATACCATCATGTAACAATCACAAAAACTTTTGCTAAAGGCCATATATACTAATAAAAAAGACAGTGGTGCTTCCAACATTTTGAAATGCTCTGAAAACCAACTTTTCCAATACTAAATACAACAAAATAACCTTCATAAAATATAATTTTCTCCATTTACATTTTTAAAGGATTAGTAACCTATGCTTTTCAAGCACAGGAATATGCGAAATAACTCCTAACATGGACAGATTTTTATTTTTTTAATACATAAATTAAGAAACTGGAGAGTTTTAACCCAAGTCCAGTTTCTAAACAAAGAATATTCTTGTTTAAAAATGGAAATTCATTTCCATTATAATTGTTAAAAGTTAGCTTTACAAACAAGGGTATTTTAATTAAAAAAAAATTCTTAACAAAACTATACAGTGTAAAAATTACTGTCTACAAGGTAGGTGGTTTAGTCAGAAGATCATCCTTTCTTCTTGCTACTTGCAGCTTCACAAATTCATTCACATATTTTCAATGGAGCTGCCCACCTGAACATCACCCCACAACTATATTGCTATAATTAATATTTTTGCCATGTCTTTATGTACAGTCTCCTTCACTGCCTTTTTTTTCCTTAATCAAGCCTCAAGCGTTCATGTCACTCCAGGGGAAACACACTTCAGTGGCACAGCCATGAGGCCAGGGCTGCAAAGCAACTTAATAAAGGCAGAACAGTGCACATAGAACGGGGTGGCTCAATTTAGTCAGAATACACTTCCTGGTGAAGGAGGAGGCCAGAGACTGGATTTGAGTTCTCAATCTTATCTTAATCTTTTGACTGTTGGGCTTAAAAAAAAAAGAACCAAAAAATCCAACCTAAAACCAAGCATACAGTAAATGAAAAGTTCATTATCTTCCAAGCAGGCATTTCTATTAAAGAGGCAGGTGACAAAAACCCACAGCTGCTGAATAACCCAGTTTAAATGAGTTAATTCACTAAAAAAGTGCATCTTTTAGCTCAGATTTCTTTCATACAGGAGGCCAGATTAAAAAAAAAATATATATATATAAGCTCTGTTAAGGGCATCTATATCCCTATGAAAGACAATCACCATTCTGGAAATTTCATGTTGAAGCCTGAACTTGTTCCAGTTTTGTCCCAACGTGGTATTAAAAGCTTTCAGGGAACACCTTGTTAATGGAACTAATCAAGGACATGCCCCCAGCACAACTCTGCTTCCAGACTGCTCTGTGTCATGATATATGTAAAGGACAGCACATATTTTGTTTTACTAGGCCAAAGCCTGAGGTGCACTGTGCTTGGGTCTAGCAGACTTTGCCGTGTGCTTAGCAAACAAATTGACTTACTGGAGGGTTCTAAAAAAGAACCAAAGACCCCGTTTCTTTTTGTGTCTGTGTCTTATCTTTCTCTTTTTTTTTTTCCAGTTTAGCTAAATCTCAAAGGTTTATTTTCCTACAATTCCCATCTCTGTAGCCATTCAAGCCCTGCCTACACACTCTCTCCTCCTGGAGGCAGGGGGATGTGCCATCACTACTGCTCTTACAGCCCTTCAGCTGGAGCCAGAAGGGACTGACAGTGGAATGCCCCTGACCAGGGCTCATTGGGGTAGCTGCTGCTGGATCTGTGCCTCTGGGACTGCTCCAGGGTAGGAAAACCTCCAAAACGCAGAGACAACTGTAAAGGGATGAATTTTCCATCCACATGACTATACGTGCCTCTGCTTTTACCCTAGTTTTAAAGAAAACTTCACCCTGCGTTGAGCCATGCATTTCAAAGGTCCCTGTCTGAAAGGGATCACCAGCAATAGGTCCATTACTGGTCTGCAAAATGGGATTTTGCTGGAAACACACTTTTATTACCACCATGGTCTAATTCCTTGCGTAAAGAAACTCCTCCTCCACTACCCCCCAGAGGTCTCCATCTGATCTCTATGAGAAGACTGCAAACTTCTGACATAGCCCAACCAAGCTGAAAATTGTAATTCAAATGCTGAATTAAGAAACTTGGAGGGGTGAGAGGGGAATGGACTATGAAAGAACTTATGTATAGGAAAAAAGCCAAGCAGAATAAGGAGGGCAAATTCTCAGCTTGAACAGCCCCAGAGTCCATTGGAGTCAGTGGAATTACGCCAGAAAAGATTTTGGCCCTGCACTTACATTTCCTAGACAAAGTAAATGTCTTTGTCATTCTGAGCTAAAAACATTTTCTAACATGAACACTTCAGGATGCATTATCTTTGCCAGAATGGAAAAGGCTTCATCTCACTGTGGGTCTTGACCTCTTTCTCTGTATGTCTCTCTTTCTCATGAAAAAAACCTTGAAGTAAAACAATTTCCTCAAGTCAAGTCTGCCTCCAACAGAATTCATTACTTATTTTTTAAATCCGGAAATGATTTCAGCTTGCACCCCAGGTGGGAAGTTAAAAAGAGGGAACCTGTTTGAAAGTTTGTCACAGTAGGCAGAACAGTTGCTTTGCAGCCCTTGCCTGGCTAAGGGTGCACTGCTTCACAGCTACACTGTAAAGTGTTAAAAATCCTCCCCCCCCACCCCAGAATATATATATATGTATGTATAAAAAAAAATCCCCTGTCCACCTCTCAGTACAGAAAAGGACCTCATCACACTGCAAAAATAGCAGTACCCACTTTGGTCAATTAAAACAAACAAAAAAAGCATACATTATTTTTTTTTAAATCTGTGTACTTACCTATAATAACCAATACAGCTAAAAGCACTACCTACATAGGCAAAACTTGGTATTGCATAATTCGTATAAATTTGTATCCCCTCCCCCCAATATTAATTGGAAGATGAAAAACATGAAAGGTTAATAGAAAAAACACCAAAATACTGAAAATATTGCTGGTCGATTACAATTCTTAAGCGGCAACTATACACAGCCATGATATGCTCTATAAATGTGAGATAAATGTATAACTGTCTAAAAAATCCATGATGTCACACATTTTTCGCATCTGGAGTACAAAATATTTTGTCATAAAAATGGTAAAGATTTAAAATTATAATAAATGCAGCAAAACAAGTGTAGTGATGTCAATTTTTTTTGTAGTTTTTTTTCTTTTTTTCTTTTTTTCCATTTTTTAGATTTCAAGGCAAGGCACGTAATGTGGACATTATATCTTCGTGCAAATTAGGATTACTGGAAAGAGTATTTTAAATTTTTAAAGAGACAGAGAGGCAAAATGTCTGCCCATGCACATTATATTTCTGTCGATATGTGAAAATTGTTGAACAAGGCTAACTTCTGAAAGCACCATGCAAGTTTACAGCACCCTGTAATTAGACTTACATTAAGAGTGCATTATTTAAATACAACATATCCCCATCCTGGTATTACCAGTTTGTAAACGGTAAGCTTTGCCCTTGTGACATGGATTTGCCTATGTCTTTGTCTCTATGATGTAGATTTTACAGAAACATGTAAACCCTATGGGTTCTTGATGCAACAAGTAACTTTAAATAAATAATCCTACCCCTCTGTGGAGGCAGCAGCTAAACCAACATAAGTGCTGTGTTTCCATTGATTTCTTATTCTCAAGGACATGATTTGTCTTGACTTAATGCCTTTTAATGCCCTCAAAAACTGAGGGGAAAAATAAGTTTGTTCAAAGTAATTTTTTATTTTTATTTTTAATCCCCTCAGTTTAGAGTCCAAGGGCTGAAGGACTTATAGTGATGACCTCTTAGATATGATTTTTAAATTGCACTTGCCTCTGTAAGTGTTTCTTTACTGGGGAAAGAATGTCTTTTTTTTCCTTTTCTTTTTTTACTGTTGCATGAGAAGATAACACTTTTACCTGCGTAGAGGCATTGCTTCCATAGAGCCTGTGTGTTCATACTGATTGAAAATTTCAAACTGCATAACACACTAGAAGAAGGCTGAATTAAGGGCCAAAGTTTAATAAATCCATACTGATAACTAAAGGCTACAGAGCTTATTTTTAAAACATTTAGAAATCAGACTATTGAGAAAATGGCTGGCTCACGGCCCATGTCCTCCTGCAGCTCTGCTGTCACTGCCTAGCCTTTGTTTTGTGAGATAACCAGGAATAGTGATCTCATGCGTAAACAACAAGAATACTAAACCAACAGAACTAGCTTATCATGCAAATATTAAGGCATCTAGAAAGTCAGTTAAAATATATTGTCAGAGACAGAACATCTATTTCCCAGCGGACTTCATATAACAAAGGCTACTTAGGAGGAGCTGCATTCTACTCATCAGTGAAATATCATCGACCCTTTGTATATCATTTCAGTTTCAACCATACGAGAATTAGTGATTGTAAGAGCTGCAATTGCTGGTCTATTTTTGTTCTTCTTTCTTCAGATTCTTTTCTCATACTGTCTTCTTTTCCTTTTCCTTTTTCCTTTTTTCTTTTTTTTTTTTATTTTTTTTATTTTGCTTTTAATCTTTTTTTCCCTCAGTTGCTTGTTTCTGCTTGAAGGAAGGGTTCTCCAATTATGTTCAAACCATAATTTGGGACATTTGTCGGCAGGATCGGTGTCCTATTTGATACTTGGAAAGGAACCAAGCTAGCCCAGGTACCAGGACTGTTGAAAAGGGGAAAGAGACAAGAAGGGAAAGAGAGAGAAAAAAAAAAAAAAACATAAATTAAACATGTTTACAATAATTTGAATCATGGTCCAGCTAATATTCATTAATAGTAGCACTACTTAAGATACAGCTGGAAAAAAAATTGTGAATGTAACTTGAGATTCTACTTCCTAGATTTCTTTGTGAAAATATGAGTTGTTTGAGAGAAAGAGAATTGTGTTGAACTCAGTAGCAAGCTGTATGACTCCTGAGTTACACTAAGTGGTCTGTTTGTTTAGGAAAACCCCCAAAAATGTCAGAACCAAATATACAGAGCAGACACAACTAAACCATACAAATGACACTATATAGTGTAATCGATATCATTTTTAAGAGCTAGTGAAATATACCACAGGGTACAAATGTTCTTTTTTCAAGAATACAGCATAAAGATTCAATGGTTCAGCATCCTGTGAGATTTTCTCCACTCTTATAACACAACAATTTATCTTGTCACCATCCCAAGATGGGCCTCTGAGATGTACGTTTGCCCATAAGAAGAGAGGATTTTTATGCTCAAAAAACATGCTTGAAAAAAAAAAAATTCCCTAAGAATGTTAGTCTCAGAAACACCAGTTAACACAAGATCCAATCATCTAAACACTTGCAGCCAAGGGTAGCCGTGAGTAACAGCGAGTGCCGTATTTTTTTCAACAAGTCTCTAAGAAAGAAAATATTTTCAAGGACAACTCAGTGACTAGGAACTTAAGTCATCATAAGCTCCTCTGTCTCTAAGGAGCTGAAGTCCCAATGGCATTCACAGGATCCCCAGGCACCAATCAGTAGTACTTGCAAGATTCATATCTGGTGTTCAGTACCCAGTAGCCTGAGTGGCCCTTTCCTTATATCTGGTTCTGGCAACCCAGAAGTCCAAACAAAACCATCCTAAGCTATTTGATTCTAGGACTTCAGAGAAAGTTTTGTCACATTTATTCAGAAGAAAAACAGCATAATTATGTCTGCATCACTGCCAAAGAGCTAATACCAGCACTGGATATATAGCATACAAATACACCCTTCCTCTGCATTTCCCTGTATTGAGCTTTTCCAGTGTTTATCACAAACATAAATCCTTACTTGGAATTATATTCTGGGATTAGGTTAATGAGCTTCCTGATAGCACATCTGAAGCCCTTCAACATGTGTATTGTGGAGGCAAAAAGTTTTCTTCTCTCTGCAACTTTTGGCCGATTTCTTCACAGCTCTCTCCCTGGACAAGCAGATGTTCTTTTGTGGCATCAGGTATAAAGAGGAAAATTGACCTTTTTTTTAACTATTTCAAATGCTCATGACATGATTACATTTCATTTAGCAGCCTGTTGTGATCATTTATATTGCTGAAAATATATTTTGTGAATTCCAGGGGACATGTTTCTCAGGTCTTTCATGTTAAAAAAAAATACAACTTCTGTCATTCACTTCTATTGAAAAATACTTAACTCTCTAAACTTGCTAATTTACTATTTTAACTCCTAGCAATTTCAGGTGCTATGTTTTACACACACAAAGAAAGTAGAAATAGTTCCTGACCTGCTTGTCTCAATAACGGCCATATTCCCAAAGGAGAAAGATTAATCTTATTTCATTAAGAAAATACAATAAATATTAATATTTTAAAGTTTTCAATATCTGAAGTACAAATACTTTCCTATAAGGCTGTTGTTTTTTGGTTTTTTTTTCTTCAATAGAGTATATTCCTGAAGGACACCTAAAAATTTGCAGGGTCTTATCCTTTTCAGAACCTTTTTTTTTTTAAATTGCTGTTTTCAAAAATTGAAGATCAGCTAATATGTTTAATTTTGTATTGTTGTTTTAATTCTATTGACTATTACAAAAATCTGCTATTGGAGGAAAATAAAAACCCTTTTGAAATTTAAAAGTCACAGTTACACCACAAATCTTGAAGCACTCACGAAAACTTAAATCATGTTATGCATGAAAGACTTTTCCAAGATGATATAATGAAAAGAATATGTTCCGAAAAGAAAAAAAAATTCAGTACCAGAATTTAATTTAAGTGGCTTAATTGTTTCAATTGATTCTTCATCTTACTTCACAATTTGTTTTAAAATGCATTTTTTGTTCCTTCCTCTTTGGATTCCAGTGATGTTAAGATGTAAATTCTGAAATAATGGACACAAAGCAAATTGCTTCCAAGCATATGGAATTATAAAAATCAAAACTAGTAATAAAGTAAAAAAGAGCCAAGCAGATTTGTTTGTTTAGGATCAGTCTGAATATATGTTTTACAATGCATAGTTCTTTGCTGTCCTGTTACATGGGATTTACAATGTTTAGGGACTTCAACAAAATACAGCACTACCTCAAAGAATATAAATATTGTTTGAAGTCAACACTCTATTTTAAAAATTTCTGTGAAAAGGCTGAACACACAGCCTCCAGGTTATCTTTCTGAAGATTTATAGTGCATTTCAATGACAGTTTAGAATTTTTGCTTTGTTTTAAAGTTGCCAGCCTTCTAGTGACTACAGTGGGTGAAGGAAATAAGTCAGTGCTGAACAAAAGCAAATTACTGTTTGCAGCGAAATTTGTATCTGATACTAAAATACCAGGCAGACATCTTGATTTTAATGGAAACTGTTCAATAAAAATAAGTTGTAGCAAGTTCCTAATATGGCTGTTGTTGCCATATGACCTACCAGTTTAATATAAGTGTTTATTCAAGCCTCCCACCTTGTATTATGACCATGACAAAATTCAGACTGCAAGAAATTTGTCAGTACTACTTATGAATCCTGAGGGAGTAATACATCTCCCATGTTAACACTGTGTATATCCCACAGGGGTTTCAAAGCCCCTTGTGTCAAAGCTCATGCCAAGCCTTCTGCCAGAGATGATGGTGCAGGCAGCTTTATCTTGGGCCACCCCAGTCCAGGTACCACCATCAGGGGCTTACTGCAGACAAAGGTAGAAAACTGAATGAAAGCTATTGAGAGAAACAGCTCTAGTCACAGCACAGAGCTCTTAGAAGAGCTGTAACACAACTGTGATTGACCAAACACACAACACAGGCTTTGCTAAGCTACATGGATGTGGCTGTCTATCCAATATTCCCATAACCTCCCTTTACATTTATGGCAAATTTAGTTGGACTTTCAGCTACCCTATGAGCCACACTTTGCTTTGTAGCTCCCCTGTACTTCCTCCATTATGAAGCCAAGCAAGACCAACTCCCCAGAAGGGCAAAGTCTCCCTGTTAGCCTTCTCCAGCCTACTTGGAAAGGGCCTCTCTGAGTATTGCAGAGCTTAGCTTCTGCCATGGAAACCATTGTCAGGGCTTTTTCTGCAGAACATCCTAGCAGGAATGACAGTTACTTCTGGCTGCAAAGCAAACTCCATCTGGGTGTCCACATGATCAGGAAATGGGGGAACACCTTTCCCTTCACCATACCATCCAGCAGTTGGTGTGAGTCCCAGTTAAAATTCAGCAGGTGTTTTCACAAAACCAGATGTAATACTCTGCCTTTGTCCACTAATTGCCTCAACCAGGGAAGCCAAAATTCTTTCCATTGTCCAGAACACAGTCAAGGTGGTTGTCCCTGCAGAAGTTAATAGAATGCCCGCATGGCTTCTCCTTCAGATTAAAAAATCTTTGCACTTTGTGAGTGAAATAAAGCAGGTCTACCCCACACTCCAGCTTACTACTCCTGAGGAAATATGTTATCCATTTGTTGACAGAAGTTATAATATAAATGCCTTTCCACTGAAACATGAAGTGAGAGCTAAAAAAAACCTGATCAAGGATAAGTTTTGAAGAAAATTACATGAGAAGAAGCATGAGAGTCTGTTGTGAGATTCGGATCCATTATTGTTGCAGGACCATCTTCCTGAAGCATCACACTTTTAAGTGATTTCACTACGGCTAGCAGCTTTCTCTTCACCATAGCTAGAATATCAAATATGTGATACAGTCAACAGTTCTCTCTCTATTCACAGGAAGTATAATGTATTTATCTGTTCAAATGCAATAAAACAGCAAAGGAAAAGACTTCAAGCATCCTACAGAGTTAACATTCTCCATTACACTTTCCATTACAGTTTCCAGATGTTAATTCAATCAAGATTTCTGCAATGATCTACTCTTAAAGATAATAATTGCTGTTTCAAGAACCTCTGATTAAAATATTACTGGAATGGACCACAAGTATTGCTTATATATATATATACAGTTCACTTCAGAGGTTATAATAACAAAAATGGCATAATATTGTTAAACAATTAACTAAGCGCAATAAAAAATAAATCTAATCTGACCTGAATAAATGTGGAGGTCTTTCATAGTCTTATTTTCCATCAGTTACTACCTCCTTTCTTTTACAGTTTCAGAAGTCTGTAAGGGTATTTACTGTTCCGAAAGTACATCCAAAGCAGTATTTCCTTCTTGTAGCTTTACTATCATGTACATGAACTCACTGGCCTACAGAAGGTAGAGCAGAGTCTGAAAAGTCAGTCTTTGGATGGAAAAGGTAGAAATACCTTTCAGTCAATGTGGAGTGAAGTGACAGTATTAAACCACCAAGCAATGAACTTCTATCTCTCTAGTAAGTGCTTGCCCACAAAAATACAGGGAGATTTACCATTTAAAATTACATTTAAAAGAACTTTGGAAATGCAATTTTGCTACTCTCACTGTCCTGGCTAAATTTCCACTCATGCTTTTCTGCTAAAAGAATAACCACCCTTCCAATATCTACTTACTGGGGTATTCTGCTGGTATACTGCTATCATTCTGAATTGGCATCCATTGGTAAACAGCTGCCATATTTCACCTTCAAGTTGAGTACTTGTTTCAAGAGATGTATGAAGTGTATCTCAGGTTAGTTTAGGATGACTTTTGCAGTTAGCAGGCACATATCACCCATGTAGCAGACAGACGAGTTAAAGACCTACTAATTTATGTCCACAGGAGGGAAAAGGAAAATCTCCTCTAAGAATA